ATGACCAAAAACTTTACTATTTAGCAGTTAGTATTGAAAAATTAAAAACCATATTTCTCAGATTGTATAAAATACTAGCAATAAGTATATATTTTAAAAATATGTGACGCAGTAATACCATACTCTCACTTTCATACACATAATGTTTATGTAACACAAATGTCTTTTGTCGTTTAAAAATATCCGGTTTATTGTCATGTATAATTTGTATCGTGCTTAACAACGTGGAAATATTGGAGCTAATTTTAGAAGCTTGGAGGAATTGGGCGAAGGTGAAAGTAAACAAGTTAGAAAGCATTTCTTTGTCATCTATCGGTATTTACATTAGAAATCCGCTGAGCGCAGGTGTTGCTTTCTCACGCCGCGGATCAACAAATAGAGAAATATTTGATAACTGTCATGTCAATTGATATAATTTGGTTTCTAATTGATGCACACATTAGCACACCCAAATACTTTAACCAGATAATCACTTTTAAACGTATAAGTATTAAAAACAAGTGTTTTAATTCTGCGTCATTGAAAATATACAGTTTCAGTCTTACACGCCGACGGTTGGCATCTCAGTTTTACAAGTTTTCACTATTTGCACAACATAAGCTGCCATCATCTCGCCAAATTAACGAAGTGACCTCTTCCCATAGAAATCCGAATTAGCAAAAGTGTTGTCTACCTTTAATCAATAACACGCATAAAAAGAAGATTCCCCTACTTATGCATCTCCACTGCCAAATCCAAACTACTCCAGAAATTGTTGCAACAATTTGTTCCGTTATTATTCGTAGTTACTCCAACACTAGCTAAGTACACATTATTTAGCGTTAGAGCATAAGTATTAAGTAAATTATACCAACGCTAGCCAGCTATAAGATTTTAATAGCGTGAGACGAGGGATGCTGGAATGTGGAATGATAGCATTTCTCTTGCGGGTTTAATAGTTTAGTGCCAAGTAAATCAAATATACGTTAAGTGCTTAGCTAAGCAAAGAGAAAATGTGATAAACGTCCATAGTGTAATGAAAGAAGTTGAGCATATTTTGTCTGTGGTAACGGTTTTGTATATGCTTGTATTTGTCTTAAGAAAATGTCTTTGTATTTAAATATGTATCTCGTTGACAAAAAGATACGCAGATAGTTCTAATGAGTAAATAATGCATTTTTTCCTTAATGACATCAATATTTTCTCTTAAATACCATCAAAATGTTCAGAGGTCAGGGCCAGAAAACAAGATGGCGCTCCTTATCGGCTTTTTTAATATTGGGTACGAAACACGTGACATAACGTAATGCTTGAGAACGAAAATTAAATGTCCACTGCAGTGTTTCTCTTAAATAAATGAGCTTTGCTTTCAAGTGGCATTTATTGCCTTATCTCACAGAGAATGATAGCATTATAACCCGGATAAAAACTGGTACCGTGTTTTTGAACCTTGGCACGATATCTTGGACTACAGCCAATGTCATTGTGAGAGCATTTTTATACAGAAAAAAAACTTTAAATGAATTCCGTAACTTAGTTATTATTAATAATGTTCCAAGCTTGAACCTTAATTTTGAACATTAGGTATACTTAAACCCGCTTGGTTACTATCCGACTATCTTACTGTACTTATATTTTCCAATTTCTCTTAACAATACAGATTCAAAAATACTTTGTTTATTAGATATTTATTTATAGGATTTTATAAGATGTTACTATAACATATACTACTATAATATGTTCGTAAAATTTGTACTTTGCGCGTGTAGGCCTACTATCTCTCAATAAGTCATCTACGAGAATTATTCATTGTTCATTAGTTTTCGCCCGCGATTCCGCCAGGGAGGCATTAAAAAACACAAAATTGTGTAGGCTATATGTTCTTCCAGGCTATCCTCTACATCTATGCCAAATCTCATCGAGATCAGTTCAGCCGTTTCGACTACAAACACTAACAAACATTCATCCAATCATCCACCCACCTAAACTATCGCATTTATAATATCAGTATTAAATATGATTACAGAAATACAATATTAAGTTAGAAATTAAAACATTTATAAACAAAGCTAGTGTTTCCTATAGGTAAATGTTTCCATGTAGGTAAGAATCGACTACATGATTGAGCGATTGCGTATCATTAGATATGTACACGCATTACTTGCATTCACTAACCTTATAAGTTATTGTTAGGTTAGGTTTTCTAATCATCAGCAATACATATGAGTACAAAAATAATTAATCATATTCAACGCACATCGAGGTCCTTCGGTCCTATTCACTCTCTGAAAGTGGCTCACGTAACAAAGGAACGGTAACCTAATACGTGACGAGAAATATGATGCATTATATACATTCTTTATTATATTCTATTGTGGACCCCATTTGCCGATTAATTGGTTCCGATATACGTATGCGAAACGTTCGTGACTTTCGTATAGCAAGGTGAAATCGTGAATCCGTTCCCCGTACGCAATTTACAGCTAATTGATTACTTGATTACGTCTCGTTAAGTGTTCGATGTTTGTTTTATGTTACTTCGATACTTTAGTGTAACCAGTTAAAAATTTAGAAAATACAGGCAGTTGGTTTAGAAGACAAATTCTTATCTACAAACATAAATGAACTTACATCAAACTAATATTATAAATGCGAAAGTTTAGATGAATGATTGTTAGAGCTTGTAGCCCAAATTGGTGAACGGATTTCCATGAAATCTGGTATAAACGTAGAGAATAGCCTAGAAGAACACTAAAACCACACATATTCGTTTTTTTTTAACTCGACGCGGACGGATTAGCGGGCGATAGCTAGTCTTATCATGATGTTTTATGAGATGAAACTTAATCAGCAGACAAACATCCCTACTGATAGTTCTTTCAAATTCAGACTTCCCATAAATTTGTACAAATTCCAATTCTTTAAAGTAATAAAGATAAAAGTTGAGACATTAATATTTAGCTAGTGCTATATGTTCAAGTGTATTTTCTTTGAAACCCCTTTGAGTAGAGTTCCACACAAAGCCTAAATCTAATTTGCGATTAATCTTGAAAGCATAAATTATGTAGACTGTAGGAAGACTAGCGCCTTGCTTAAGCATGGAATTCATGAAGATTATATTTAGACGCTGAATTCGTAGACGTTATATAAATTATACTTGCAAGTGAATTTACTGGGATAGAGTTTCTTGTGACTTGGACATGTAGATCTCACAATATATACTTTGTACTTATATATTTTTTTTGAATCTGGGTAATACAGTTTACAATTTAGTTTAAAGTTGTTGACGAGAGAATAATTTGCATACGATAGGAAGAACTTTACTATGGACAGGAACATTGAAATGGGTTAATGCCTAAGAAGAAATGGATAGATTGTGAAAGGTGACACGATTAAGAAGGGTCTGACAACTGAAATTACTAATGATATATCGATTTGGAGTACGAAAACCTGGTGTTTCAAACTCATATTGAATGAATAAGAAGAGGGAGACAAATTTGATGAACTAAATGTGAACTAACTAATCTTTAGTAAAACTGATTTAAAAGTCATGTAATTCTTTCGAAGTATTCAAGGCATTCGAGCAGGTCCTATATTGCGTAAGCTTTAAACTCGCGTAGATAATCCGTTTGTAGAGGACGCGGGAGGCAGGCGGATACCGTGAGACGACCTCGAAGCAAGTACAGTTTCTGATCTCTGACTCATATGTGACTCGATGATAAACAAAACGTAATGCAATTTGAACACATTCCATTTATGAAAATACAAATTATTACTGGCAACTAGACACAAAGATTAAATTTTAATTTAAGCAAAAAATTAACTTGCATTAAATTGGTTAAGTTAACTTTAATAAATAAATATGCATGCTATGGAATGTAAAACTTATTCTTAAGTTGAACCTAAGTATATCTTAAATAATCCCATTACTACATGCTAAAAGTATTTTTTTTCATACTTGTACTCTTGGTAGGAATATTTTAAGTATGCATAAACATTTAGTATGAATAAAAATAAAACTGTATTGTAGATTACAATAATTTCATAACAAAATAATATGTATTTAGTATGTAAAATAACTTAATTGTGTTTACATGTATAGCATGGTAGAGACAATCGAATTGGAATTGTGTCGCATTCCTGCGTGCTAACAAACTGCTTATTACTTGCAAACATTAAGCCGGATACAGAAAACGAGTTAGGTCAGCCACACAGATTGTATACAATATACATATACTATGGTATTTATTTGTTCATAATCTAAAAATGAATAAATCATTTTACCTAACATGTGAACAATTAATTGCTAATCGCAATTATTTTCTTTTATTCAATTATTTTCTCTTCATGTGTTAAGATTTGTTCTGAAAATATAAGCTATGTTTTTTATTCGTTAGTATTGACTTTAAAATTGTAGCGTTGCTTAAATAATTTATCTTTAAATTATATGTTTTATAATATTTCAGTGATCATGATAAAAATGGTTGTTTTTAATAATAGTTAAGGATAAAATAATGAAGTTATTACAAACGATGGTGAGAGGGTTAGTAATGGAGTCATTACTTTCATAGCCATTTCCTGGGGGATTTCTTACGTGACTTTTAGTGTTACTATGTATAATCATAAACGACACGGTTTACACATCATAGAGAATATAATACTATATTTAAAAAGTACAATAACAAAATTTATAATTATACAGTAATTTAATCATGAACATTAAGATTTTTTTACATTATTTTTATAACATTGAAGATACCACACAATAATACAGTATGCAATTATAAACTACACAATTATAATGTTAATTATATGCTAATTAAAAGTTGCTATACTTCGGAAGTATTTTTAAAGAGAACGTATTTCCGCCCAACTTGCCCTTTAACTTTCTTGATGCCAATTTACACTGGTCAATCAGTGTTCACTTATAATGTCTTATTTGTAAATTAGTTCTTATTAATTTTAAGGTTTTTAATTTATTTTTTTCAATTTGTAACTATTGTTTACAAAATGTCACTTACCAATAACTTGTGTGAAAATCCAATCAAGCCGCAAACACAACACAAAAACGTTTAGTTTACGTAAAGAAAAACCAATTCCACAGAATAAGATTACAATATCCAGTATAAATAATCACCAGGGTTAAACAAGAAACGCACAATTCAAATATAAGTAGAAACGGCGCGATACGTTCACTGAAGTCCGCGGCCGCGACTCTTTGCCGTGAATGGAAAACGTTGGCGTAACATAGAAATGGATACAAACGTTTTATAATCAATGCGTGAGTGTTGCAATATTTACGTAATTTTTGCAGGTTGTCAGGTGGTCGAAGGGTATCGCGAAACAATCCAACCGCTGCCGGCGAACGCACGGCCCGCACTGCTTGCCCCTAACGGCAAAAGGTCGTTCGTTACCCACATTCTCTTTCCGCGCAAGCCTCCGCAAGTTAGAGCAAGATGCTGCGACAATCTCTCGATTAACATATGTGTGGGAGCGGGATGGCGATACCCAGCTTCGCAGGAGAACCCGAATTCGAGACTTGATAGTTTCAACTTAAGACCGTGCGTTGTCATTGTGAATTATTTTGATCGTTGCACAAAAATGTGAGTAAGCGCAAATGTGAACAGCCAATTGTTTTGAACAATGAACAAAATGGTTTAGGTTTTGTCTATTTCTAGACATGATGTAAGGCAACGCCTTTTGTGTTTTAAGAAGAAAAAAAAACTTATGAACTGAAAATCGAGGATAACGCAAACTGAGAACCAGCCATTTTTGTAATGACATATGCCGAAAGTTATGCGACAATATGTTCGTGTGAAAACCTAAATACAAAAACGAAAATGGAAAAAACTCCCGGAAAAGTTACTTATTACAATATAACAGTCTGAAGGTTGAAGTCTATTTGAAGCAAATTGTTAAAGAAAAATATGAAAATTTCAGCATTACTGGTAAGATATACATAAATAGCTCATAGTATTTCGTTTCTATACGGCGTTGAAAGAATGGCAGAGGAACGAATGCAATGCGGACAACGCGCTTTCCTTACAAAAGGGCGAATTAATCTCATGGTCCAGTGAGTCTTAATATCGCATATTCGTAGGCAATTGCAAAACCAACTAACACGGCTACCAGTCGCAATCATTATTACGATATAGCAAAGGCGTACAAAATAATAACTACATTATTTAACTACAAAGTATTTTACAAAATCATAAGTACATTACTTTGACTATATTAAGTTTCAGATAGGAAATGTTTCCTTAAAGTAATAATCGGTTATTAATAAAAATCATCAAGCTAAATATCTTAAACCAGTGGTATCGTTTTGAGAGTCCGTCTTTGAATAACATTTAAGATCATACTCAATATGAAATTTTCTCTATTTTCCTAGGGTATATTCTTGTAGTACAACTTGAAGATGGCCATAAATGATTTTAACATCAGCCCGTATAGTGAAAATAAAGGTAATTTTCACGATTTCCTTTCTAAGTTAAGGTTTTTGAACGATTAGGTATATTTTGACGATTTGACGGAAGGGGAGATGAATAGGAAGGGGATATATCCTCTTTATGTACGTCTCCTCCTTCATCAGATAAGGGTAGGCAACGCATCTGCAATTGCGGATGCCTATGGACAGCGGTCGCTTCACTATTTTGGCGGATTCAGGTGGCCAGTTGCTCATTTGCCACCTTATGTTATAAAAAATATATATTTTTGGCTATGATACATGATATTAGTAAATACTAAGTATTACTAAATACTAATACTAAATCATTTGATATATGTATGCTGTTATGCAAATGTTACCAGCACTTATAGAGGTTCATAATAAGATCTTTGCCAGTATTTCTGCAGAACGTCTTAATTAAAGTTAAAAATGTCTCCGCATGATATTTTCATTTCGTTATAAAATTAATTCTATTCAGAAATTGTTGATGAATGTAACATGCTTAAGAACTGTCTAATTAAGAAGAATCTAGATTCATTCTTTTATACTTGTATTTTATTTTGCACACAAACAATATGATTAAAGTTTCGCTCTACAATTTTGTGACGTAACTTATACCTTTACTTGATTTTTTCATATTCAATTCTTTTGAAATTTATCTTTATTGGCCAATAAGTTGCTTGTTAAGTATATTTTTTCTGATTACGCATTGTTACGTGGCCTACACACCAAATGTAATAAGGCCGCTTACTTCCGCCACATTGATATTCTCCAAGTCTGGAAACGGAAGCTGCATTAACCTCAAGGTGTAGATTGTGAGATAAATTACATTTTAGAAACGGATATTAACATACGTTTATTACTATTTTTCTTTTATAACACACAAAAGATTTGGTTATACTCATCGAAATAAAAAGAACAAATTCATGTAGTTACTATGAGAAAGTGATAAATAGAAAAACTAATAGTGAAAGCACAACATTGAACAGTTTATACTTTGTCTTACGAATAATAAGCATTTATTGACAGAAGGAACAAAAAGGTTAATGTTCATTTTATCTACGTTTGTCCATGTTAAGATAACGAATAAATTGATATTCATCATTATTCCGTTAACATCTCTATCATTTTAATACACTGCACTTGATTATCCGTATCATTTAGAAATAAAATTGGCAAAAACTAGAGGGTGTTATAATTTCCATACACGTTTGAGTGCCGACGTTTGTGTAATCATCTTTAATGTGCGGGATAAAAAACGAGAGCGGGAAGGTATCGAGGGTTGCGGTAGTAGAACGCATAAAGTTTTTATTGTTTCCGGGTCATGAACCTTCCCAATTGTGTTTCGCAATCAATACGTCTATTTCTACCGCAGCTGGACTGCCAATTTACAGGATGTTACAAATACGTGTATGTAACCATTTGTACCGAAGAAAACCTAATAAAATTTGTATAAGATTTGTCGATCAAGTTTAGTACAAAAGGGGCGCGGTACAACTCTAATAGTTATTTAAACGTTTGCAAAATAGTAATAAATACATATCAATTAATATTTATTTAACATTGCGTTAGTATTTAAATTGAAGGAATGTTTTTGCAACGTTCATTTGCGAATTATCAACATTTGGCTTGGGAAGGTCATGAATTGCAGATTAGGCTGCGGACGAAAAATGTTAATAAAATTAAACACATACAAAATTTAAATGTTTTACCAAAGATATATATAAATATGGTTACTGTTGATTTTTTTTTTTGGCAAGGTTACTTTTTTTTATAAGAGAAGGGGCAAACGAGCTGCGTTTATCTATTATTTTTTAAAATTATTTACCGCTTTCTTCCACAGACGACTAAGTGGCTTGATTGGTGCTATAATATACTGTATTATATTGTATGTGGCTGCGAATTCAAATGCTGCATTTGCGAATAAAAGTTTTTAATAAAATAGTGCGTTCAGTAATTTGATATTCACATGAGTCCCGCACATTGAGCTGCGTCCCTTTGAATGACTCATTTAAATTGCAAAATTGAGAGCAACATGCATTTTATTACCTTGTTTTTGGAAACGGGATTGATTAAAATGTTTTCATTTGTCAGTCAAAAAATAAAAAATACATATTTTGCTACTAATTCGTACGACACAATAATTTGATTCGACTTAAATACTTTCTATGAATATTAAACATAGATGATGATTATTAATCTTTGTATAATTTGATATTTTGTGAAAAGAAAGTGGACATATTTCTTTTCTATAAAATGAATAGACTATTCTATAAAGAAAATAGAATAGAAAATGAACTTAAAATTCATATAACACGACAGATATTGGGAGACAACATTACTTTATTCGAGAGCTTTCTTCGGTTTTTAAAATAACTTATTTTGAAGTATAACAATAAGTCACTTTCAAGCAGTGTGCAAATATATATTTTTCCAAGCATTAGAGTAGGGAGAATAACTTTATAGGTCGATTGTTCCACGACCTCGATTCCGGATAAAACATTAAAGGGGTCACTTTACAAATGTATGTAATTTTACAAACCGGAATGCGAGCATAAAAATCGCACTTGTTTGAAAGTATAATTTATAAGGATATGCACCGCTAACTCGCCTAATGACTGGCCAATCGCTTACGTAAGAGACTTTCTACTAGTAATCATTTAATCGTGTCGTAAAGTTTTTCTTTTGCCTTCGGATCAGTTTTGGTTTATTTAATTATTTTTACAGACTTTTAGTTAACACTTGCCATTGATGTTCGCAACAAAAAGCATTATTTATTAGATTTCTGAATATAAATTGTGATAAGCAGTGATTGTACAAATCATGGGGGATTTAAGTCGAAGCATTATGAAGGAGTAGTCACCCTAACATAGGGTTGATTCCAAACCCCTCATGAGGACATAAATCGTGCTGGTAAATATTCTGCATAGGTGCAATACTTTGTCATTGCATATGTACAGTCGCAGTAATCCGCGGTGTTCCACTTACAGAAAGCTTGCCTAGTGAAACAAGACAAACTCCGCCTCTTCATATAAAGAACTTGTTAGGTAGCAGTGAGTTGCGGAAACGCCGGTGTAATACTAAAAACTCATTAACCGTGTACCATCGATCGATTATCACATAGACACGTTTAAAATCTACATTCTTGTTATTGTTCAGCGTTGTCGTCTCAATGTGTACAAAACATTTAAACGACTATAGCTTTAAAGATGCAACATCGCCAAATACCCCGATTGTACTTACTACCTTATACATTGTGTATGAAATAGCAACTAGAATATCGCGAGGAATGTTTATGCTCCACACCGTTGCCGTGTCTTTGACAATGGATGCAAATCTTCAAGCGGATTTATAGCGGCTGCATTACTCGTAAATTGTACCGGGGAAGGCGACGGGCGATTATCTTCTTGCTAGCTTTTATATTTCCGATGTAAATTTATTATAAGCATTAATATAATGCTTGAAACAGAATATGTATTGTGTTTGAGTTTATTGCACCTAGATTTGTATCATTTTCACGTAAAAAATACTTACTATTCCTATTTCTAAAGAAATTTATTTCAACGGCTTTAAACTATACAATAAACTTAAAACTTGGCTGGAGTTGTTAATGAGGAAGTAATAAAGGGTGTTTTCCTATATGTTATCTACTTGTATATGTATTATAATAATTTTTATTGTTTGAAACTTTTATAGAACGAGCTGTATACGAACATTAACCTCAAAAATCTTTTATATTTTGAAACTATGTTAATCACAGGCTCCATAAAGTGCAGAGGCGGCGTGGCGGCGTGCGGCTGACGTGTGCGAGTTATGTACTCCGTCACGTCAACAACATTTGCCACTAACAAAGGATGGGCTATACATAAATCTAGATGAATAAATGTTTAAAAATGCTACTGCTTTTTACCTGTAATCTTTACTCTAGTTAATGTGCACGAAATAATCT